CCCCCCCCCTTCTTGTTACGCTGCGGCGGATAGTATTCGTTCTTCACGGTCAGTTTATTTGTTGGATTTTTCTTTCTTTCTTTCTTTCTTCTTCTTCTCCATTTGCCGTTACTAATGCCGCCCATCCTCCCTTCTTCACTACAGACATACCGGATCTCAACACATACGCTTTGACGTGCATGATGATGAAGGGGGGGAGGCAGCGCAGTGCATCGCTTACATTTGATCTGGCGAGGCCGTGTAGGAGGAGAATGAGAGATTTGGGTTGGGGAAGAGGAAGAGGAAGAGGAAGTATAACGGAGGAAACGGAGAGGTTATATGCGTGTGTCCCTTCTGCCGCAACACAAGGTAAAAGAAAAAAAAAAACATTTCATACATTCATTGACACCCGAGCACGTCAGTGTAAACAACAGCCGCTCCTCATACCTAGAATTTCCTCGCATTTACTTTTTCTTTACTTCCGCCTACAAATACACGCTCCCGCACACACACACACACACACACACACATCTACCCACCCTTTACTCCTATTTAGCTGCTCGCTCGTTGGTGAGATGTTATCGGCAGTAAACAGATCTGAAGGAGGATTTAAGAAACACGTTTCTTTTCCTTCCATTCAACTCCCATTCTCCTTAGCTGCCCACTTTCGCATTTTTTTCCCCGTTTTTTTTTTTCCATCACTTAGTTTGACGTACAGGCTTGTGTCCCAGGTCTGAGCACACTGCAATTCTTCTTTTTTTTCTTTCTTCTTTTTTTTCGTTGGCCTTTTTTGCTTTCCCCTTTTCGCTCCTATCCATTCTTCGCGCTGTTTTTTTTTTGCTTGTCGCCGCTTTCCTTGCTTCTTCCGTAATCATCCACGACAAGCCACAGTCCATTTTTTTTTTTCCTCCTGAATGTGCTTAGAAGAATTTGCCGCTGCTCTTCGGAGCGTACACACCGCGGCCACGACCACCGCGCGGCTCGTAGCTCTCCGACTTGGAGACGAACAGAGTGCCTGGCTCTGCCTTTTGCGGAGCCTTGCGCGGGGCACACGACTCTGGTGCGGCTCCCGCAGCAGCAGCAGCTGCGCGCTCACCGCCCTTGCGGGGACCATCTGCCGTCGCGGGACGCGAGACGTCGTACGACAGCAGCATGCTTGGGTGGTACGGCTTCATCGGCTTCACCTCCTCCGGCTGCGGGTTGAAGAGGTCCGCACCGCAGCGCCTCGGGGCACTTGTACCGGGGTTCTTGCGGTGGATGGGGCACGCCGAGTCGGTGCCCTGACCGGTGCCGAAGATGTCGTGTGTCTCGTTCGCCGCCGTTTTGCGGCGTGCAATGATGGGGCGTCGGCGGGGCGGCAGCGACTCGGGGGTGAACTTGCGGGGACCGGAGACAATCTTGCGCTCAACCTCGTGAAGGTCTTCCCTGGTGTACTGGCCGAGGTTCAGAACGTCCACCGACTCGTTTGCCCTGTTGCGGCGCGTGCGCACGGTACCGCGCGGGCGGTCGTCCACTGGTGCCGCGTCAGGAGCAGCCTCATCATAATGATGGCTCAAGGCAGCGGTAGTGCGTGCTTTGAATTGACGCTTGCCGGTGTGCGTGTCGGCGGCAGGCGGTGCGGATGGGAGCTCCGGCTCGCTGAACGGCGCTCCAGCGCTTTGCGCCGGCGGTAGACCCGGCGCACGAAGTGGCCGGTGCTTTGCCTCCTCCGTCTTGACGCTGCAGCAGAGCCCCTCGAGATTACCCTTGGGGCCGCTCTGCTTTGAGGGCAGCAGAGTTATGGGTTCACCCTCCTTCCTGCCACGGATCCATTCCTCCGTAAGGGCCAGGCCAACAGTCGTGCCAGCTTCCTCGAACCTGCGCACACCGTGCTTCACATGGCCAGGGTCCTTTGGGCCAGAAAAGAACTCCGAAGGGCTTGCCTGCGGCGCCTTCGTTGGCACCGGCGCGGGTGGTGCCTCCTCTTCCTCCTTTGGCTTTGGCTGACCGCAGAAGAGGCCAGCAACACCCGTACCACGGTTGTTGGCAGCCGCACGCTGGCGGTGTGTCGGATCCGGGCGCACCGGTGGCGGTGGTGGCGGGTTGTTGGACGCGAGAACACGCTCCTGGGCTGTGTTGGGACGCTCTACAGCAACAGCAGCAGCCATAATAACTCTTTTGCCTTGTGAATTCCTTGGATCTTCGTTGAACTAGAAGAGGCAATACAGAGAAGCAAGAAGCATAGATAATGTCAATGTTGGATACGCTTGATGCTACATCTATTACGCAATGAGAAAAACAGTGCAACTGCAACAACAACGAAAATTAATATAATTAGAGAGCAACTTTCATTAGTCGTAGTTTGGCGTTGTTTGTTTTAGACTTTTTGATTCTCCGGCGACCGATGAGGATAACACCCGGAGTGAAGATCCGGAAAGTGCATCCAGAGAGTCCCCGTTGGGTTAGAGAGGAGGGTTAGACGAATACCAGGAATTTTTGACGTAGACACAGAGAACGGAAGAGTGAGAGATGGGG